AGGTAAGTCCTTTGACAATGCCCTTTTGCTTTAGATTTGGATGTGCCCGTTGGTAGAGAACTTGACCTTTGACCTGCTTTCACGTTTCTGAGCCCCGGCGAGATAACCTTTCAGGCTGCTTTACTTTTACAAGGCCCATGTTGCGTTACTTTTGCAAGGCCTGAGGCCTACATCGGGTAAAGGCCCTTTTACTCTCGCCGGCCTAATTTCGAAGTCCTCTGAGAATCATTTACCTATCAAGGATATGAATCCCTCTCTTTGCGCTTTCGTATGCAGACACAATATGAGGTGCAAAATCTAACAGTTCTTCTCTTGTAAACCAACGATCTTCACTAGGATCCTGGAATGCAAACCTCACCTTATACTGTCGCTGTGGTCTGCCCCTACGTCCAGTGTGGTAAGTACTTTCTGCAACAATCTTATCCACATCATACTTCCCATCCATACTCGGAGATATCGCCGATTGGCGACTTGGGAAGAGCTCATTTGTTACACAAGGTAAGAGTTTGGATGCATGGAACACTGGATACGTACGTAGATGTGGAAGAATCTCAATAACATATGAAGGACCATCCACATCTCCAATTACATCTAAAACTTGCCAAGGTCCTCTGTAGGTGGGTAGAAGCTTCTGAGAGATGTTTTCTTCAGGAGCAAACTCTTTAGACTTCACCCAAACCAAATCTCCTACAGCAAATTGAGATGGCCGTCTGTGTTTATTTGCCTGTTCAGTCATCTGATGCTGTGCTTTGAGTATGTTTTCCTTCACCTTCTCAATGTCTTTCTGATACTGGACTGCAAATTCACTAGTTCCTATAGGAAGCTTATGTACTTGATCCGGGTTCAATCGATCAATGGGTCTATGTGGACGCCATCCTAGATGTAACTCCATAGGAGTCTTACACGTAGATAAGTGTACATAGTTATTGTAGGCACTAGCAACTTTAGGCAGATGTTCATCCCAGTCAATCTGATCGGGACGGATGTACATGCGTGAAGTTTGCTGCAAAATCTTGTTCATTTGCTCAGTCTGGCCATTAGTCTCAGGATGCCTGCCTGATGACATAGTCAACTTAGAGCGATATACATTCATCAGTTGCTGCCATTGTTCACTTGTGAATCGGGTATCTCTGTCACTCACAATAGTTAAGGGATGTCCAAAATCTTTTACCCAATGGTTAAAGAACGCTCGAATTACCAAATCAGTCTTTGCTTTCGAAGGCAAAGCTACAAAAACAGCATACTTAGTGAATCTATCCACTATGACCATTACTTGCATTTTCCCATTTCTGCTCTTTACCTTAGTATCCATGAAATCTATAGAGACAGAGTCTCCAGGGCCTGTAGGGATAGGCAAGGGCTTAAGTTGCCCAAGGGGCGATTGCGTGGTGCTTTTGTTCCGTTGGCATACTTGACAACCTTGCACATACGCGATACAGTCCGCTTTCATTCGAGGCCAGGTATAGGGACGCAACAAGGTCCCATAGGTCTTCTTCCACCCAAAATGGCCTTCTGTATCATGACATTCCCCCAAGATCATACTTTTGATCTCTTCATTATTGGGCATACACAGCCTATCATTTTCATCAGTTCGTTCAAATAATAGACCCTGAGTTACTTTATGATCGGGAAACTCTGCTGGCTTTTCTTGCACTAGCTTAATCATGGTTCCATAAACAGGATCAGAGGGATACGCATTCCTAATCCTTTCTTGTAGGTCAACACCCACATCTAAATAAGTCACAATATCACCGAAAAAGTCTGATCTACGACTTAGTGCATCAGCAACAACGTTATACTTACCCTTTACTGGCTTCAACTCAAAATCAAACATATCAATTTCTGCAGCCCACCTTGTCAACTTAGGTGTCATTCGAGCTTGCGTTTTGAGCCAGCGAAGCGTTTCATGGTCGGAGTATACCTTAAAATGCCTTCCCAGAAGATAGTGTTGCCAATGATTGAGAGCCTCACGAAGAGCATATAGCTCTCTTTCATACGTCGAGGCGGCCACTTTCTCATTAGGCAACCGGCAAGACATAAACTCCACAGGCCTGTATCCACGCCCATCGTCTTGCTGGTGTACAACACCTATACCATATTGACTAGCGTCGGTCGTGACTACGAAAGATAATGAAGGGTCTGCCACTTTCACAACCGGGTAATTGATCAAATACTTTTTCAGACGCTTGAAAGACATAGCGCAGTCTGAATCCCACCTCCAAATTACTTCCTTCTTAAGTAACCTGCGAAGGGGGGCAGTTATTATCGTAAAGTGCCTTACAAACTTACGATAGTAGTTGGCTAACCCCAGGAACGACCGCAACTCAGTCAAGGTGCGGGGGTTCGGCCAATCTCTGATTGCTGCTATTTTGGCATCTTCCGGTTTGAACCCATCTCCATCAATCACATGTCCTAGGTATAGAACCTGACGCTTAGCCCATTCACACTTCTTCGGGTTTATCTTGAGCTTTGCTTCTCGTAATTTGTTTAGCACGAGTCGAAGGTGCTCAGCATGTTCCTTGTCATCTTTACTAAAAATCAAAATATCATCTAGATAAATCACAACAAACTTGTCAAGCCACTCACAAAATAGTTCGTTCATTGTTCTTTGGAAAGTGGCAGGGGCATTCGTGAGACCAAAGGGCAAAACTATAAACTCATAGTGCCCATACCTTGTTCTAAAGGCAGTCTTGTGTTGGTCTTCCGGCTCAACCTCAATCTGATGGTAGCCGGATTTCAGATCAATCTTTGAAAATATTTTGCAACCCTGCACGCGATCCAGCAAATCGTCTATTCGCGGTAATGGTTCGACATTCTTTATAGTTATATCATTTAATCGCCTATAATCTATACACATGCGAACGCCGCCATCCTTCTTAGGTACAAAGAGCACAGGCGCACCATAGGGCGAGGAGCTAGGTCTTATCCATCCATTTTTCAACAACTCATCGAGTTGGGTTCGCAGTTCAGTCAATTCCTGGGGCGACATACGACAGATAGGCCCCTTCGGGGGCGCGCTCCCTGGAATGATATCGATGCGGTGGCGGATTGGTCTTTCCACCACACCGCTTGGGGCTTCAGCCACGTCTGCGAACTCTTTCAGGATCCTTTCAGTCTCTTGAAACCTGACTTTTTCCTTAATCTCTCCTTCCTTTACTGGGCGCACATATGCAACAAAGACTTGGTCATACTAGTTATGTTTCTTAACATGGCGAGCGAACGCTGGGGCACTCATGCAACAGGGATCTAGGCTGCTTTCCTTTCCGGATTCATGATAGAGGCGAATTTTCTTCTTACCTCCTTGCGGACTTGGGAGCCAACATTCACGCTCTCTCAATTTTAGATCCGCGTGCGCAGCCTCACCCCAATCCATTCCCAGTAAGACATCAAAGGGCAAGTTATCCTCCACCAAGAAGGTCAGTGAGTGGAGAACACGCTCCACCTTCCCCTCTGCCTCTAGCCAAAAGTATACTTGAACCCCCTCGACGTATCAATCCATGATGATTTCACTACTATTTGCCAACTTACTTACAATGGGCTCATTTAACTTCTTAATTTTAAGCCCAAGCCGCAGTTTCTGCAAACCTCTTTTACTAATATAGTTGCGTGTAAACCCGCTGTCTATCATACCTCCTACTCTAACTCGATTTATCTCAAGATCTGCAATTATTAGCTGTCCTTTTTTTTTACGCAYTTCAGTCCAGGCTTGGCGACGAGCGGCCAACTCATCACCCACGCCAGCGAGGGATCCATCTAGAGAGATGCATACATTTGCCACCTCTGGACAGTGTACTAGATGGGGACTTCCTTCCTCTTCAGTTTCTGCCATTGGGGCCTTCGAATGGGAGGATTCTGATTTTTCAACATTCGAAGCCCCGGTAGAGGCAACTGGCTCCTCTACTGGCTGTTCCCTTTTGCCCCCCTATAGTCAGGGCAATAGGGGACAATGTGGCCGGGGTCCCCACATTTGAGGCATTGCTCTCCTTTCTTTCTCTCTTGCCAAACCTTTTCTGTGATTCTCAATTCTTTCCAAGGCTCTCCTTCCGGTAGGCCTGGATGTGGTGGGTATGGCTTATCCCACTTGTTGTACCATGAGCCTCTTCCTCTACCCCATGTGGAGTAAGAACCACGGCCACCGTATGAGGGACCATTTCCCCTTCCTCCCACGTAGTGGCTTCCTTCACCACCACCCCTCTGGGTGCCGAATCCTCGTCCACCACGGCCGCGACCTCTTCCTCGGCCACGCCCTCTTTCTTGACGCCCTCCCCCGCGGGCTGCAACAGCCGCGTAACTCCCCTCCTGAGCTACCGGTCTGTTGGGTTCATCGAGACCATAGTCTACCTGATCCCAGGAGATGGTCTCGGCGCCTCCTTCTTCAAAGGTTAGAAGGAGACTATCTTTCCCAGGTATAGACCCTGAGATAGTGCGGTTTTGCCATCTCTTACCCGCTTGCAGATCCTTCCAATAATGGCAGTAATTCGCTTCGGCGAGGAAGCCGTCGTGATCTATTGCGATCTTGCCGAACTTCTCATATGTCATCCCCTCTTCTTTGGTGCGGGGATAGAGTTGCGTTCGTAGGGGATCCGGGAGTGCTCTTGCAAAACTGTTTAAGATTTGGGTCAGCGTTAATCCATGATCAGGGCATTGCAATAGCTCATCCATAGTTGCCTTTAAAGCAGAGGTACTTTTCCATATCCGATCAGGAAGGCTGAGGATCAACATCTCAGTGTGTCTTGCTAAGTTTTTGTCCTCAAATCTTTCTCTGATTAACTTAAGGAAATCTTCAATTCGCGTTTGCTGCGAATACTCTACCATGGAGCTGCATCCCTCCTCCTTTTGCAGCGAGATGGCGAAGCTCATGGCATCGCCTCCCACGCATGAAGTTGCCATTAATACCCTGTCCCAGTAGGGGATTCGCTGCCCGTACATATAAGTTTCAATTGCCGCCGCCCAGTGCAACACACTTTCTTCTTTCTTTCCATTGTAGGTCCATGGCAGTTTAAGTTTTATCTTGCTCACCTGCCCGATTTCCAAAGGAAGTTTTCCTTTGGATCCCCAATCTTCTTCTTCCCTTTCTTGTCATCATCCCCGTCATCATCTCCATCTCCTCCGCCGCCTCCAACACCTTTCACTATCTTCTCTATGACCTCCGGGGTGAATGTCTTAGTAACATGTTCATCTAAGACTTTAATATACGTTTGCACATGTTGGTCAATGTCTTTGGCTGACTTTTGCAAGAAGCTATTATAGATATTTTTGAAATCAACACGATGCGTTTCAACTCTCTGTAGGGTCTGACGCATTAAGTTCATATCTTGTCTTGTGTTGAGGACTGTCTCCCTCAGGAGAGCAAGCTGGACTTCGGTTTCAGAGGGGTTTTCCTTTTGCTGTTCTAGCGCTTTTTGCAATTTCTCCCCTTTGGCCTGTAGTCTTTTCTTTTCCTCCACCTCTTGTCGTCTGGAAGCTAACAACCTGGCATTCAGTTCAGCCCTTTTTTCGGCCATCAGCAGGTTGCGTTCAACAGGGTCTGTTACAGTGACCAACTTTGCGATGAACGTATCCCGTTCTTCATCAGTTCCCTTTAATGGTTCGCTGGAGTAGTAGTACTCATCGGCCCAATCCAGCGGTTCGACCGGGAGCTGGTCTGCAGAGCTACTCTCGGGTAGGTCTAAGTGACGGCGTCTTTGCAATGCTCCTCTTTCCTCCTGTTCTTCTTCTTCTTCTTCATCTTCTTCCTGAATACTTTTCAATTCTTCTTCAAGTTCTTTATCCATTTTCTCTTTCATCTTCCTCTTGGCTTCTTCTTCTTTCTGTTTTTTCTTCGCTTCTTTTTCCTTTTTCTTTTCTGCCAGCCTGCGGTCAATCTCTGCTTGCTCCGAAGGTGTGGGGCCAGGCTTCACTACTCCAGATCGCATAAACATGCGGGACGTGCATACACGTCCGAACCCTAGTGGGAACACCAGCCGAAACAGCGGCCCCATCAAGACAGAAAGGGCCAACAGGCCCTGAATGGGATAGTCATCCATGATGAGGATTGGCACAGGAGGTCCTCCACCAGCTCACCACGACACTACCCCAATCCAACCTACTTACTTACTTAGTATCTGTGGTAGATGGAGTTCTGACTTTCGTTGACTGTAGAAGGTGCTGCATATAATGAACAATGGATCAAACTAGTTAACTGTTTAAATATGTATACTCTTTTCTTTTTCTTTTGATATGCTGTCTGGCTCCCTGGATCAGGCTTTATGGCAATGTGTTTCTAAGGTCTTGTTTCCCTTGATGTATAACCCCCTTTTTTTTTTTTGTACTAACTTGCTGGGTGTCTGATGCAGGTATGGAGTACAACGCAGAAAATCAGATTCAGATGGTTCACTTATCCAACCAGGCAGGAATACTTCGTTCCAGTGTTTCTTTCTGTTGGGCTCAACAGGCCCTGTAGACGCTCAATATCATTCTTACGCTGCCTGGTACTTGCAATCTGATGTGGCAGATAGCCACTTCCTACATCGATTCTTAGTCCCTTATGACAATACCCAGCCTGCCTATCGGGAGGGGTAGGAGAGAGTCTACTCCTACTCACGGAACACTGGACCACCTAATCTAGTGTGACCAGGTCCTGACACATCGCCCTTGGACCATCCAGACTCTAGGACGATCCAGATCCAGACTTCGACTCCAGCCCAGTAGCAGTCACCTTCAGAGGGTCAGAGAGAGAGAAGGTAGGGGACACACACATACATGCAGGTTCAGGGGAAAGGAGGTGCTTCTCTCTTCTTGAAGATACCGCCGATGATGCTCCACGACGCTCCGCACGCTCCAGGTAAGTAGACTTCGCCACTTCTTCTTTGGCCTGCTCCCCCACTATCCAACACCTCTCCTCTTCCTCCCTCCTTCATATATTCTCCATCACCACTTCTTCTCGCCGGCCTTGATCATGCCAGCGCTATGAGTGTAGCGAGCATCTGCTCCGATACCAAATTTTGCATGGGTCCTGGGGACCATCTCACGCAGGTGAGTACATGTCATGCATCATACTCGCACACAAAGAGCAGTAGTCTCACACGATAGACAAAGGTAGAGGAGAAGAGAACCGAGTTTCCAAGCTTATATTATCAAAAATATGATTTCAAAGTGTTTCAAAGTTTCCCAGAGTCCACAAATCTCTTGTCAACTCATCAGTATGACTTCCAATACATCAGCGCTACATCTGCAGATTGTCTCCAAGTCATCAATGTGGTCACTACTCATCGGTGCCACCTCTGCAG